CCCCAAAACCCCCAAAAAAAGGTACGGGGAAAAAACAAGCACTCTCCTTTCTCCCAATTTTGTGGTGAGTAAAGCAAATCTTCACTTACAAGGCTATTTGCAGGAGCTCCAGTTTCTTCAACAACTTCACAGACAATGCTGTCAAACATTTCTTGAGAAACTTTGCTGTTGCGACATTGATTCAGCTCATGGAAGCCGTCATGGGAGACTATTCCAACGTCTTGGGGCTGTTAAAAGCATAAACACAATCATGTTATCCGGACATATTTGGGCAGTGAAGTAACAAAGATTCCACAGCTTAATCTTGATGCAAAAGAAGAGTGCTTTGCATAAAAGCAGTCAGACATTCGAAATCCCTTAGGTGATCTTCTAATTAAATAAACCTAAAACAAAGCTTACAATTGCAGAAAGCAACGTCAGATAAGGTCACACAAATTGGTAGTTACATTATAAACAGGTGAATTTAATAAAATATAGAATAACAAGTTACCCAACTTAAAAACTCTGTTTAGCTAAAGGTCTAAATGGTGAACAACGTTAAGTACCAATTGACAAACGGAAATATGGCAGTTGCTTTTTGCTGTCATAGCTCACGCGATATTAAATATGAAAGGTTTTGAGTAGCTTGCTGGGTTACAACCATTTTTGCTCTCCCATTTTGAGTTGCAAAAGCTTATATTTATCAGAATTTGTTGCCATTATCTCAAAGGTGTCCTTACAACATTAGATGAGATACCTCTGGATTGCCTCCAGGAAAAGCAAAATATCCTGGGAATTCTCCAACTCTGTTACTTCTCTGAAGCACAAGTATTTTCTTATCAGAAGTTTCTACAACTGCACCATTACCCAGAGGACTTGATGTGTGCTGACACTGTATGCAATCATCTGCAGAAAACCAAGTCACATTTTTTAGCACAAACGAATTGTAGTCTCGCAAGCTGGAACATCAGTCAGAAGCATTTTCATCCCTTTTCATATACTTGAAGTGCCTGCTCTGTGCAATGTTATATGCAGTTCTGTATCACATAAGAACCTTGTAACATATCCCTCTTAGAATTCATAAGATATCAAATTGGCTGCAGACCTCATGTTGGAAAGCGAAAGAGTATAGAAAAGGAAACTAAAAGAAATACTAAGAAATAGATTGCAGTTTAGGGTAGCAGATACATTAGAGATGTGCAGGGAACAGTCATTACCTTAGGAAGAAGCAACTCAATAAACAATTGTATTTCATGGAAGTTTACCTTCAGATGGAACAAGATATCTTTCCCAAATAGGACTTAAATTTGTCCCCACAAAATCCCTGAGCAGAAAAGTCCAAGTGTAAGAATATTTTATTTGTATTTTCTATTTTGTTCCCTATTTTTGTTCTTCCTTTTGGATTAATGCATGGCAAAATTAAAGTGTTGACGGCACATTGCAGAAATACACAAATTCTCGTATTTCACCCAAGATTCTAGCGACACAAATAAAGAACAATTCATTTATAATTTACCATTTCGACATGCTGATATAAGTTAGGGACAGTAACATTAGCCTGTCCAAATTGCACTGGACGGATATATGTTTTCCATTACATGCACATTAAATGGAAAAACATGTAGAATAAAGGAAGGCAGGAAGAAAGAAGACGCAAGATAGAGAAGAACCTATAATTTGTCAGACCAAGCTGAAGGGAAACATGAGGCTGTTGCTTGGGATCATTTCCTACATCGAAAGTGTATCCTCCATACTGTAAAAGTATCAGCATATTTAACATTTTTTGTTTTTGAGAAGGAAATAACACAAAAATGCATATATCATATTTGGGTGTATCTGATAAACTATAAATGACTAACTAAACTCTCTTAAAAATAATGTAGCTGCAACTGTGGCCATCAAAGTGACAACACTACATTGTCAAAATTCTAGACTGAACAGATATAGCCAAACTATCTATGTTTCAATATAAAAATTGAATGATAAATGCAATGGAAGAAGAGTGCAGCATACCCTAAAGTTCGTCCAATTGTAAAGTGGTGAATTTTGTCGTTCTCTTTCTTCCCATACCTAACAACATGACAACACGTTATGCCAATGAAAAGACTCAGCACAAATACCGGTTTTGCCCCAAGTGAATAATCATAGCTTTTTGATCTATCAGCCTAAACATACAGACAATTACCTAAAAAATTAGAGTTTGGTATTTGGTCTTTTTAATCAAGTGTGATTCTCACAATACACAAAAGAAACAGCGGTATTTGCATAATATTAATTCTGCTTCATTATACACAAAACCATTACTATTTAGAAATCAAACATTTTTTCTCAGACTATGATTTTTTCAAATGTTCTCTAAACATTTCTAGTTACAAGATTGTCATTTAAAGTACTTGACCTCTAATTGTTAAAAGGAAGAGAATTAGAAACAAAACCTCGAAAATGGACTGCTCCAAAAAAGGATCGGGATGGGGAATCCTGTCGTATGCTTCATTGAAAACAACTGAAACCTTTTACCCAAAGCAAATTCAGATTACAAAAATGAGAATAATAAAAATGTAGAAAGCGAAGAGAGAAAACAGAGAATGAGCAAAGTAAGTACGTAAGTAACCTGTGAAGGAGATAGACCAGAAGGACATGAGAGCAGCAGTTTGAATTCGTGACCACCGTCGCAGCTGCTTTTCTCTTCCATTTCTTCTACAGAGAGAGAGTGTGGAGATCGATCAATTACAGTGAAATTTTCCTCCTATTAATAAGGAAGGAGCTTCGGGTCCTCAGGGGCATTTTGGGAAAACTGCAACTTATTTCAACTTTTTTTAACACACATGCGGAATCCATAGTTTCCCTTATTCTGACGCGTATATCCCTAACAGCTTGTTTGGATGGTTGTTCCCTGTTGTATTGTATTGTATTGCTATTCTAAAATAATGTTCGTTTTGATTGTTTCATTAAAATTAATTGTATTATATTATTAAATTTATTATTTCGAAATAATAAAAATTCCTCTTTTTTGAAACAATTGATTTGATGTGGTGGGATTGTTTCCTATTTTTCTTTTCAATTATGCCCTAACTTATTACTCTACAATTCTATTTTACCCTTTACCTTTTTTTCTATTTTAACTTCAAGTCTCCAACCTATAACCTACGTTATTTTTTTCAAGAATTCTGCCACTAACGTTAAAGATGTTTTGTTGCCTTCTGTTTTATTTTTTCTCCTAATTTGCTTTTAACTCAATCCTAATTAGCTGTGATCCTTCGTTTTGCCTTCTTCTGTCTCGCTCCTTTGTTCTGCTTTTTTAAGGTGTTTTGCCTTTTTCTTTTTTCTTTTTTAAAATTCTTTTTATGCATAAATTTAATATTTAAACAATTGAGGGTATTTTAGTCAACTTATCAGTTACAGTACAATACGATACAGTCAAACCAAACAACAAAGTATTATTTAATAATAGAAAATAATAAAATCTATCCAAACATTGTATTTATAAAACGATACGATACGATACGACACGATACAATACAATACATTATAAAACGATGGGAAACAATGATCCAAACATAGTGTAACTAAAAAAAAGAACGCGTCTACTGCTCTTTATCCAGATTTTCCGATCTACTCAATTCCTCTCTAATTTTCCTGTCTTTTTAATCTTCTCTCTTGCTGCTCGGTTTATGTGTGTTGGCTATGCAGTCATAAGGTGACTTTTCGTTTTTTATTTCTTTGTTCAAATTGGGTAAACAGTTGGTTGTGATTGTTTGTGAGATTACGTACAGTTTCATCTTCATGGCGTTAGTATATCATGTCTATCGTAAAAAATTTATGGTATTTAGTTAGTAAAATTACAAAAAGGAAAAGCTCTACTCCCCCTTCTTCTAATTTGATAATAATGGCAATTTCTCTACTGTAAAATTTGAGAGGGAAGGTCGTTGGCTATTTAATCAGGATTTTTCCTTCATCTCTACTGTAAAAAGCTTATGGGATTTTTCGTATTCTAATTTGTCAATTTTATATGAAAAGTTTTAAGATTTTTGTACATTAATTTTGGATTTTTGGTACAGATTCTTATCTTAAATATTTTCTATGTTGTATTTCTGCGGAATTATGATACATGTGTTTTCATTGTAGTGGTTAAAAAATGGTAAAATATAAAGTAATCTGTTGCTCAAGCGTTGTTTTTCTAATACCAAATTTTTAGGTGATGATTTATTTGGTTGAACCGATGACTGCAAGGATATTTTTCATAAGTTTAAGAACATTGTTGGGCAAGAGTTTAACACCCGAGTCCCGACTTAGTCATCTATATCATCTGAGTGTGCTCTTTTCTTAGTATAATTTCACATTTGATGTTCAAATAAGCAAGTTGTATTGGAACTTTTAAGGGAAAAACAACAAGTTGTTGCAGCACTAAATTTTCGTTGCTCCAATAATGCGCCTACTTTTCGTTCTGCTATGTGGACTTGGTTTTCTTGCAATTCTTACATGTTGAAAGCTGATGACTTTTGCTTGTTTAATCAAAGTTTTTATCTGCAATTTTATAGAAAGGTGAGAATTTTTTTTTAAAATTGGAGTTTTTGGATATAACTTTGTGGTGCTAAATGGTTTAGAGTATTACAATTTATGAGTCTCTTCATTATTCTCTCTTCGGTAAATGATGCTTCTTCTAATTTTGCCTCTAATCGTTTGTCCTTTGTTCTGATTGTATTTCTGATTTGGTTGCTTCCGTGGTTCCTTCTACTGTCTGCTCTTACCTGTGAGTTTAGTTTAAATCTTTTGCTCCTCTTGCTTGGTGTGTTGGCAACGTAATGCTTGCATTCATCTGTAGTCGAGGATCTTTTTTTTAAATTCATAAATTTATTCCATATTTTTCGTGTATGTGCTTAATTTTGTTTAGCTATGGTAAGTTTTTTTATAGTCAGCCTTTTTTTTAAACGCATCTTGTTATTGCCAACAAATTTTAGTAGACATTTTTTTGTTATTTTGGACATTATCTTACTGGATTTCACATACATGTTAGAACTTATATCAGATTTGCCCTCAATGGGCCTAAGGTGTTTGAGAATATGCCTAATCAACCAACTGATTGTTCTTATTTTTTCTCATTTTTTCGCATTTTCTTTAGGGTTTTGTTTTTAATTTCTCTTTTCAATTATACATTGACAGTAAATATGATAAATCTGTAGATCAGCACTGCAATTTGGAGTATTTTTTTGCTAATATCAAAAGCTCTGAAAGATTATCTCCAAAACACCTGATAATTGAGATTACTATTGGTGATTTTAGCTATATATAACTTTATTAACGCATAAATATTATGCATTCAAAACTCAGAATTTCTTCTCCGAAAAGTTATATTCTTATTGTAATCTTTTACATATTATTCCTTACGTATTTTTGGCAACATGAGGTTCAAATAAAAGACCTTAAGTACCACCGCACCATGCACGTTCAAGGTATTTGATTATATGCTTGAAACCACTAATAATATTTATTGTATTTCTTTTTCAACAGATTTTTTGCAACATTCAAATCTATCATTCAACAACTTAAAAGGTACATAATTTGGTTCTATTTAACTTTACAATTTGTTCCTTTACATATGATTCTGTTGTCCTATTTATAGAATAAACATATTCTGTCCATGAAGTTGGTCTTAAGAGTTGCTGAGGTCCTTTTCTACATTTTCACTTCATGTCTCGATCCTCCTGCTTCGTAACGACTTACTGATCGCTGCACTTTGCGTGTCAATTTTCAAACATTGCTTTTTTCGTTTTCCTAAAAAAAGTATTAAGTATGGGTTATAGCAATGATATGAGTTATGTCATCTATTTATGAGACATTGATGCCCACACATATATGACAGATGTGGATGTTGCTCTTAAACGCTGAAAAATAAGGACTTTAACTTTCAGTTGAAACATACCTATTTTATTTCAAGTTGAATTCTTACTTACCAAAAAATTTCAACTTGGAGTCTTAAATTTTCAAAGCAGGATGACTGAGATAAACAATGGGGATGCGATTTGACTTATGAACAAAATTCAACACTAGGTATCTAAAAGATAAATTATATATATATATATATATATATATATATATATTATTACTGGATGAGAAATATACAAGTAGATTCTGTTAGTATGTTCAATAAGTATTTAATAAGGTAATTCTTTTCAATTAGCAATGGAAAGAAAAAGTGAGAGAGAAATTGATATAAACAAAATCAAAGTAATGGAAGTGCGGTATAGAAAACAGTTCTTAGTGAAAAAGTTGAGTTCAGCCACCTTATTTTTTCGTTCTTCTTCTTCATTCCCTTTTCCCTTTCTTAAGAAAAATAAGTGCAGCCTGTTTCTATTTGATTATGGAGATCTACCATTGTTGTTGGCCTACAATATTGACAAAACATATTCAAATTTAGTTGATGTTATTTGAAGTTCAGCTGCTTGTAAGAAACAAGAAAAACTGTTAGGACTAAAGAAAAATAAATGTAGATTTCTGGTAAATCGCTTATATGGTTAGTTAGTGTATTGCTTTTCCTTCACAGGGATATGTAACAAGGGTCATGGAAGACATGAGTATATAGTGGAGGTTTGATTTTGGATGGAAGTAGGGTTAGATTTAGGAAGATGGGCAGAACATATGAGGATAGCATCATGTTGAGATGATCTTACATTTTATTATTTGTGGTATTTTATACAACGGTTACGTATACTTATCTTTTTGTTCTTTTCGCTAAGTATGTATACTTCTGAGCTCTTACTGCTACTATGAACAACATAACTCTGGCGTGCAAATTAGTTACTTTGGCGGTGAAAATTATATGATAATTTGACTTAGTGAATACAATCCTACTCACATTTTTATACCATATATCAAATCTAAATTGTATAGATGATTTGTACGTTTGGTGTTACTCTCACTACTAGAAATCCGGTAAAAAGCGACCACAAAAAGCGACCAAAGTTGGTCGCTTATAGGCCTAAAAGCGACCAAACACGCCTGGTCGCTATATTGCTGGTCCCTTCACTTTAGGGACCAAAGTTGGTCGCTAAGGTAAAATAACCAAATATTCCGGGTATTGACTATAGCGACCATCTTTGGTCGCTTTATTATTTTAATAATATAAATTTGGCGACCAAAGTTGGTCTCTAAATGTAAAATATATTATTTATTTATTTATATTATTCATAAAACAACGACCAACTTTGGTCTCTAATCCAAATATTATATTTTAAAATCTAGAAAATGGAGACCAAGGTTGGTCGCTATTTTATTAATTTTTTTTAAAAATAAGCGACCAAAGTTGGTCGCTAATTTCAAGAATTTAATTTTTTTTAAAATATAAGCGACCAAAGTTGGTCGCTATTTTTCCAGAAATTATTTTTTTTAATGGAATAGCGACCAAGGTTGGTCACTTTTTTAGAAATCTGGATAAAAAGAGACCAACTTTGGTTGCTATTGCCCAGAAAATTATTTTTTTTTTAAATGAAAAGCGACCAAAAAGAGATAAAAGTTGGTCGCTTTTCTGGGTATTATTTGGTAGAAACTGCCTGTTTTGGCAGCTA